TAATAATATTAGTAATTTACTATAAAATTTTCGGAATCAACACTATCACCGATTTATCACGGAAATTCCTACAAGTTCACCTTTTTACAATATTAAGCATGTTAAAGTAATTAGAGCAATCCCAAAAACATACCGAACCTATGCAAACAAAATACACTATTAGGTAGATCATGATTTTAGAAACTTAACAAAATTAGTTTCATAATTTTTGGACACCTACACAACTTTATATTGATTTTACAAGTTTATTTCCGAAACCAAATTAGCTAGATGTTTTAGAACTAAGGGCCAGCGGCCATCAATCGGCCCAGCGACCAGCGAGCCGACCTGGACCACAGGCGCGCGCGCGACCCAGCGCAGGCGACACCAGGGCGGCCCAAGTGAGGCACGTGACGGCCCAGGAAGGGCAACACAAGCCCGCCCAGCGACCAGGAGCGGGGTAGCGGCCTAGCCACGGAGGGCGTGGCCCAACGCGGGGACGGGGCGCGAGTGGCCTAGTCAGCCGGCCCACACAAGGCGACAGCAGACCGGCCCAGCGCGGCCTGCCCAAACTGATATGGCGAATATGCGAAAAGGACCCTGCGCTATTCTCTATTCAACCCGAGATCTAGAGCACTATTTATATGAGTCTCGTAATTTACACCTAGACCCTCGAACAATCTCGTATTTACATTCCTATGTCCTCACCTTCTAACCTTCTCCTCTTCACAAAAGCAGAGCACCACAGGGGAATTCGGTTGGAGTGTGGCACGGCGGTGGTGGAGAACCGGCCAGTGAGGGGCACGGAAGCCCGTGCGACCACGGGCTAGCCGCGGCAAGACTCGAGCGAGCCGTTGTGGCGGGCAAGCCAGCTACGGCGGCTCTGGCCAGATGGACGGCAGCAACGACGCTCTTGGCACGACGATTGTGCAGCGGCAGCATGCGCACGTGAGGAGGAAGGCGCGGGCCAAGGCGGATGAGCAGTGCGCACGGGGCAAGGGGCACCGCAGTGGGACTACGACACGGGGAGGTGCACGGGCCGGGAGACGCTGCGACGGCGGGGTACGGCAGCAGCGCGGGGCCATGGGGCAGCAACCGACAACGATGGCCAGGTGCAGCGGCAGAGGTGGTGGCCAAGCTCGGCGCGGACGGAAACGCGGCGCGGGGCAGCGTGGAAGACGGAGCCCTGCGGCGGCATTAGAAGCAGGGCGGCCCGATGCAGACTGGCCGGTGAGGCGCTATGGCTCAGCGGGGTGCAGGCGTGCAGGGCAAAGGTGCGGACGCCAGGCACCAAGCGCAGGGGAGGAAGAGGAGGGGGTGCCAGCGATGGATGGGCAGTGGTGCAGCGCGACGATGGACGGCCATGGCGCACTAGGGGAACAGGAGGAGCCGCGGCAGAGCCCAGGTGCCCTACGCGTGCAGAGGCAATGAGGGTGCGGTGGCTGGCGAGGTGGCGCAGCGGGACCATAGCTCCAACGTGGGACCGCGGGGTCATGCGCACGGGCGCGTGAACGAAACCGGGCGACGACGACGGGAGCTATGTCCCAGGAGCTGGGGAGGGAGAGCAAGGGAGGTGGCGTGTCGGACCCGGCCGGGAAGATGGCGGGCCACAGTGGGGAAAGCGTAACGGCAACAAAGCATGGGCGCCTCGAGGTGGCTGTGGTGTACAGCGGTCGGCTGAGCAAGCTGGGATGGAGAGCAGTGTCAGGCAGTGGCTTGGCTTCCTCAAGAAGCAGGGGTAGGAGGCAGCAGCTTAGGGTGGCCAGCCTGCATGCCTGGTAGAGGGAATAGTGGAGCAGCGACAAGCCAAGGCAGGCAGAGACACGGTAGACAGAGACGTTGATTGCTGCAGGAATGATGCGACGGAGCAGGTAGATACAAGCAAGGCAGGCCACAGAAGCAAGGGGACAGAGTGAGCAGCGACTCGGCAAATCCCATTAAGGCGCTCCCGACCAAAGTCATGCGAAAGCAGGCGCACGTGGCCTACTGCGCGTCTAGTAGAACAGCAATACCAAGCAGAGCAGGGACACGCACGACACGTCGCAACAAATCAGATGACTGATTCAGAGCAGGAGAAATGCACCACCGTCGTCACCCTAACGTATAGACAGGATGACTCGAACCTGGCGGGACGCAAAGGCAGTAAGTCCGGCCAATCATCCATTAACGCACATGTCATACCGACGAGGTAGGGGAGATGAGTGGCCAGCGGGACTTTCATTATTATTTTAGTTCTCAATTATTCATTTACCAAGCCGACTATCTATATTTTCAAACACGGCTAAAGCACTAAAGCTAGTTACTTGATATTTTAAATGCAAGAAAAATCATGCTCCGAATTTTACTATATGCCAGTCGTATCGTATTTTTGTTTATAAATTTGTTTTTCATGCTTAATCAAATAAACAAGCCATTCACCCTTTTATTTGCTATCAAACATTTTTAAACATAAGTCAAATTTTAAAATCCGAGAAAATCGTTTCAAAAATTTTTCTTAGGCCTAAATCACGGTGCTAAACGAGCTCATAACACCAGAGATGTTACACACTCCTACAGTGGTGCTGAGCACTACAGGAGTAGTGACGAGCTGTCCAGAAGTAGTGCCGAGCACTTCAACCAGGGTGTCGAGCACTCCAGGTGCTATGCCGAGCACTCCGGCGGAACAGGAAACTCTATCAACACTGATCGAGTTCGTCTCACCTCCAAGTGACATCACTGAGTTCATGGATGCCTTCCACGAAGGTGAGGAGGTACGGTTCCGTAGGCTGGAGACAACGTCGGTGGCATAGGGCCCTCAGGCCTGGCTGGTCGGCTGCTCAATGATCAAGAGCTGTTGTTGGTCAGTGCTGAGGAACCACCCACGTTCACGCTGGCCGAGCGCGACGGAAACTGGCAATGGGCGATGCTGGAGGAGATGAAGGCGATCGAGGAAAACGAGACATGGCAGCTCGTCGATCCATCTCCAGGATGCCGTCCGATCAGCCTGAAGTGGGTGTACAAGGTCAAGCGGGATGAGCTCGGCGCCATTGTCAAGCACAAGGCGCGTCTCGTCGCCCGAGGCTTTGTTTAGAGCAAGGGCATAGACTTCGAGGAGGTCTTTACGCCAGTAGCGCACATGGAGTCTGTCCGTTTGCTACTAGCCTTGGCAACAGCAAAGGACTGGCGCGTCCATCACTTGGACGTTAAATCGGCCTTCCTCAACGGCGAGCTGGCGGAGACGGTCTTCGTCAGGCAACCTCCAGGTTTCGCCGTCAAGGGAGAGGAGCACAAGGTGCTCCGACTGCGCAAGGCGCTCTACGGGCTACGGCATGCCCCACGAGCATGGAACGCCTAGCTTGACGTCACGCTGGGCGAGCTTGGGTTCCAGCGGTGCGCAACCGAGCACGCGCTCTACACGTGACAACGGGGGAAGGAGGAGCTCGTCGTCGGTGTGTATGTGGACAACTTGATCATCACTGGCGCGCGTACGGAGGACATCAGCAGCTTCAAGCGCGAGATGGCGGCTCGTTTTTGAATGAGCGATCTCGGCGCACTCTCCTACTACCTCAGCATCGAGGTGAGACAGGGGAAGGAGGAACTCACGCTCGGTCAGAGCGCGTATGCCTCAAAGTTGTTGGAGCGGAGCGGCATGGCTGAGTGCAAGCCATGCGTGACTCCGATGGAGGAGCGGCTGAAGCTGACGAAGGCCAGCACCGCGGCGAATGTGGACTCAACACTCTACCAGAGCATCGTCGGCGGTCTGCGCTACCTAGTCCACACGAGGCCGAACATTGCGTTCGCCGTGGGCTACGTCAGTCGCTTCATGGAGGATCCCAGAGAGGATCACTGGGTTGCGGTGAAGCGGCTACTGCGCTACGTCAAAGGGACAGTAGATCAAAGGATCATCTTCCCCAAGACTGGCGGGAGTAGGCTGCAGCTCACTGTGTTCAACGATGCAGACATGGCGGGAGACATCGACGCTCTGCGGAGCACCTTTGGAGTGCTCGTTTTTCTCAGGTCGGCTCCAATTTCATGGCTGTCGCTGAAACAGAAGGTGGTGGTGCTATCTACGTGCGAGGCAGAGTACGTAGCGGCGGCCACAGCGGCGTGCCAAGTTGTGTGGCTACGTCGGCTGCTGGGCGAGTTGACCGGTGCGGAAGCTCACCCACCAGCACTGATGGTGGACAACCAGCCTGCCATCACCCTCGTGAAGAATTTGGTTCTGCACGGCCTGAGCAAACACATCGATGTGAAGTTCTACTTCTCAGGGACTGTGTCGATGGAGGGAAGATCATCATCGAGTTTGTCGAAACTGGTCGGCAACTCGCGGACATCCTCACCAAGCCGCTCGGACGTTTTCGACTCACGGAGCTGAAGGAGATGATCGGCATAGAGGGTATAAGGGATGGCAATAGGATTAGGGGAAGAAATATTAGATAATCTACTGCTTACTTGTGTGAACACACAACAAGGAAAGGCGGCACCGAAAAGGCCCACTGCTATGGTACTGTAGCCGTTGTAGAGGCAGGCGCCGAACGGCTCATCTGCCGCACTGTAGCCACATGCAGAGACAGGCGCAGAAGTCAGTTCTGCTGTGTTATCTAGTCTCTGTAGCAGCATGGGAGTTGTACTAGGACTAGATGGATAGAGTTGTATATATTGTTTGCCACTGCAACTCAACAAAAAGAGTTCAGATTTACCATCTCCTATACAGGGCTTCGGCCAACGCTGGTGCTTGTACTGTGTGTGTATGTTCTGTTCTCCCTCTTCTTCTACCTCTAGCCATAGTGTGTGTGGTCGGACAGCCTCTGTCGTGCTCGACCGTGGTCGGCAAGACTAATGAGTGGTCGACTCACCTGAGCCGATGATCCCGTGGGCTAACATTATTCGGATATTATAATACAACAGATAGACATTTTACAAGACCCCTTCTTAGACGATGTTTTGCATGATTCCTTTGCCCTGGCATTCTTCTGAGTCAGCGATCAGGATCTTCAGTCATCCCTGTTTGTGACTCTGCAGATGCCAAGCTTAGCATAAACTTACTGCATGAAACAATGACAGTACTACTACCACTACATTACAGTTACAGAGAGGCGTTTCTACATCACTGGGAAACACAGCTTCTATTGAAACGTTGCATGCACGCATTTTAGAAGATCTCCTTGTAGAAGATGTTTTTCGCCATCCCTTCACCGGGGTACTCTTCGTCGGTGATGAGGATCTTCAGCCCATCCCTCTTTGTGACTCTGGAAACTGCTACATAGAGCTGCCCATGGGTGAAAACCTGCCTCGGTAAATAGAGCCCGACCTTTTTCAGAGATTGCCCTTGGCTTTTGTTGATTGTCATTGCAAAGCACACAGAGAAAGGGAACTGCTTTCTTTTTAGCATGAATGGCCACCTGGGTTCATACTGTGTCATGATGATCTGAGGGATGCATACCTTATCCCCTATGCATGCTCCAGTTATGATCTGTGCTTCAGTGACCTTTTCCCCAAGTCGTGTGATTATCATTCGAGTACCGTTGCACAGCCCCGCTGTTTGGTTGATGTTACGAAGAAGCATCACCGGCAGGCCAACTTTGAGCTTGAGCTGGTGGTTTGGAATTCCTGAGTGCTTTAAGGTGTTGAGGAACTCAGTTGGATATTGATGCTCCATTTCATGGTTGTAGTGCATCGATTTGGACACACTGTCACTGCTCAGATAACTCACTGTGTCACCCTGGATTTGTTCCATAACATACTCGTTGATTTCTTTGGCATCCTCATTTGTTGTACACAATATTGCATTTTCTTCTAGGAACTTCTGATCACAGCAGTTGTCGTGCAGGCCCGGGTAGGTGCTTTCAATGATTTTTGCTTTTGGATCATCTCCTTTTTGTAGCAACAGGTCACTGGGGATAGTAACCCATTCCTCATCTAATGAAACCGTGTCTCCATTACCAATTTGTAGTATCCACTTTGCAAATTCCGCAGTCTTCTGCAGCTGTGCTCGATTGGCGGTCACAGAATTTAACCGCATATTTTTTGTCAACTTGAATACCTCAAAATGTTGCCACAGATACGATCGTTTAATCGATGCATTTATAGTGTGTTCTCTTCTTCCTTTTGGCACAACAGGGAGGATTTGCCTGAAGTCGCCTCCTAGAACAAATGTCATCCCGCCAAAGGGCTTTTTAAGGCTATTCTCATTAGTGAACCTCAACACGTCTCGTAAGCTCTTGTCGAGTGCCTCAAAGCAATTTCTGTGTGCCACTGGAGCTTCGTCCCACAGTATCAGTGATGTCTTTGTTAGTAGGTCAGCCATGTGTGAACCTTGCTTGATGTAGCATGTCGATTCATCTGTAAGGATCATTGGAATGTTGAATGCTGAATGTGCCGTTCTTCCTCCTTGAAACAGAAGTGCTGCAATGCCACTGGACGCAACTGCCACTACTATCTTTCCCTCTGATCGTAGCCTCGTTGTGATTGCTTTCCAAAGGTATGTCTTACCTGTCCCACCATAGCCATCCACAAATATTAGCTTCCCTAGTGATTTCTCTGCTGATTCAATTATTGCATAAAAGGCCCTTCTCTGATCTATGTTTAGACTTTTCAGTATTTGTAGGTGCTCATCCTTCAACTTGTCTCTGTCATGGATCATTTCTCCGTTCATGAGTCTATTTTCGGTATCGTTTAACTCGGCCATATCTGGTATCTCTATTCCAGGGTACTCCTTCAGTGATTTTCCAGCTTGTTCCATTAGCTTCTCAATTTTCATCAAATCACATTTTCTTTTATGGGAAGGTGCAAGGTGGCTGGTCGAATTTTCTGTTTGCTGCATGTCTTCAGAGAGTGCTTCCCAGTTTGATTCCCACAGGCTCTTTGGGTCGGTAATCTCACAGTGGCACAGAATGGTTGCAAATAATTGCTGTAGTTGCATCCCAGTCGGATGCTTCCTTGATGCAGTCTATCCACTCCTTGTCATCATTTAGAAGTCCTAGTGCATGACATGCTGACTTGTATGAAGAGTGCACGACTCCATTGACAGTCCTGATGTCTTCAAATGATGTGCAGCCCTTTGCAGTATTCAGAAGCACTCTGAGATAATACCTTTCTCCACTTGCAGGATGAGCATTGTAGATTCTGCCAATTTTCTTGCCTCTTTTTCGTCTTGCCCATTGCTTTTCTTTGGCATGCCATGCCCATTTGGTCGGGAATTCTGGGTATGTTAATTCCCTGGCATCCTCACGCTTTTTGTTTGTCTCCATCCACTCTGTAAACATGGTAACTGCTGAACCTGGCAGTTTTACTATTTCCTCAAGGTTTGTCGAGTCAGGAAAAATCACTTGTTGTTCGTTCTCCACGTGGAACCGTAGCCGCTGAACAGATGGTTCTTTGTAGTTCAGGTTAAACCTGAATATTCTCCAACAAGCTTCATATGCTGTGAGATATCTGCATCCCAGGTACATTTTAATCTCATCATTTCTCTTTGACAGACCTGCTTCTCCAATCACTGATGTTGCTTGGTCGTCTTCTTCTGTCTGGATATATTTATATAGGTATTTGATTGATCTAGACCGGGTGAACCACTCCACATTAATGTGTGCTTGGAACTTGACCAGGAGAGATTTGTTGTATGGCACAACATGTCCATTGTTCATATTGACTCCTCTTATTTCTATTTCCTGACCTTCATCTCGTATTCTGTATATTGGGTAGCCATTTTCACCAATGATAGTCTCGTCACATAGACATTTTGGGAACTGATAAATGCATCTGTGGTTCACCATGCATGCCGCCGTTGGATTTGCCTCTCCACATGGTCCATGCATCATAAATTTCTTAACAGCTTCATATGTTTCTGGATCCTTTTACTTTTCCGGGATCTCAGCACATATCATTTCATCAATTTGTGAGGGATTGAGGCACTTCTCCCCTTTTTCAAGGAATATTAGAATATGGGCATGTGGGAGTCCCTTCTTCTGGAATTCTATCGTGTATACAACTGCAATTTTTTCCCCAGAGGCCTGAGTGTCAGCACATGGAGTCTATAAACAAAAGACATACATACACTTCAATCTATTTTTAGTTATTTGGTGAGGTTTTCCATACTTATTTGCTTTAGTCTTTCCGAAATGCCGCCTCTGTTTAATGTCCATCATTAACTCCTTTAGTTTTAGCATGAACACTCGAACCACAATATCAGGTCGTGCTGCTGGCTTCTGCTGGTTCCCAGCTTCATCAAGCATGCACTGGATCTCTGGCCACTTAGGATTGCATATGAATGTTACAAACAAGTCATGGTATCCAGCCCAACGACATATAGCCATCGCATCTTGGTAGTTTTGTTCTTTGCATCTGGGACTTCCTCTGAAACTTGCTGGAAGTAGTATCCTCCTCCCAACCTGTTCTGTCCTTGTATCACCTTTTACGATTGCATCTCTCAACCCAGAAAAAAGCTCTGTTCTTAGAGCTCCCTGATTCCTTCTTATCCAGTCAAGCCTGGATTGTTCGATGCATGCATAGACATCAACTAGGAACTGCATTGACAGATTTCCGCACGTCAGCATCAGCATCGATTGATCAGAGCGTTGTTGGAGGCGATATGCATAGTATTCCAGCATGGTGATGGATTTCTTGCCATTCCTTGCACCGTTTTCTTTGTATCTTATGCCAGGTCTAAAACCATCTTCTCCATAAGGGAAAAGCAACGGGTATTGCATGGCCATAAATTTTGGGTGGACTTCTGATACCCTTTTAGGTCTCATATCTTTGTACTCAAGAATGATGTCACGTCTATTGCTTCCTTCGGCTGGATCTTTGACTATCAGGGCAGCAATTTCTGATGCTGATGGCATGTTGCATTGCCTAGCATATTGTTCTCTGTTGCCAAGTAATCTAAGGGTTAGGTTATGGTATTCGTGACCCTCAAACCTATCCCGTGCCATACGGAATGACTGCACCAGTGTGTTGTTCTCGTTGAGCATGGTTACCAGGCCCGTGATAATGCTTTCATCTAGAGGGGCACTACATTCACCAGATCTTGACACTTGGAGCCTATTATGGATCTCATTCTCTGTATCATAGATGTATAATTGTTGGAAGCGAGGCTTGTCTCCTTCTTGAGGTAGCAAAGTGCCTATGCGGTGGTAGTTCTGGCCTTTCAGTCGGAAAACATAAGGTCCACGCCCCTTGTTTATGTTTTTGTCTACACCCCCTCCCATTGATGTGAGTGCAAACATGGAGTTGTAAGATCTGATATTCTGTCGGTAGTTTGCTGAACTTTTGTCCCCGTCTGCTGCCAATAAACTTGCAAGATAACTTGGAGGTTCTTTTAGTGGTGGCAAGGTAACCCTCCCTTGCTTGCAGCACAGTAGTCCAAAAGACCCCCCCCCCCGCCACACACACACCCACCCCACCCCCCACACCACACACACACACACCGGCTATGGATTGGTTTCTCTCCATTCTCCATGCCACATGATCGCATGATAGTGTTGGCAGATGCATGTTGGCCCCCCAGAGTTCCATATTTACTAGCACCGGAATCATTATCTTCACCCATTATGAAGAAAGAGCATATCATTGTATTAGAAGAAAGAGCTTATAATACAATACAAGAGTTCAGCTCCCGGCCGATAGTTTTTGTGCACGCCCATTATGAAATAAAACGTTCCTGATCCATGGCTATCTTGACGACGTCCTAGCCCTGCGCCAGCGCACGTAGCCCGCCTGCTCCGGCCTGAATCCAGTGGTAGGCTTTGGCCTTGATGATGTACAGTAGGTCACCGACGGTCGATGTCGACTCCTGGAAACATCTTGCGTTCCGTTCCTTCCATAGTTGCCAGGAGACGAGGGCGAAGAGGGAGTCCATGTCGTTTCGTCGATCGCCGTTGAACACTGATCGCAATCGGCGCCACCAGGATAGCGTCGTTTGGGAGGCTGGTGGAACTTGCTGCCCGAGCGCTTGTAGGACATAGAACCACACCTCATGGGAGAGCGAGCATACCGCAATGATGTGGTCGATTGTTTCTTGTCCCTGGTCGCAGAGGTAGCATAGCTCACGTGCCTCGAGACCGTGTCTCGCCCTTCTGTCGCCGGTCCAGTGTCGTCTTTTCATGGCAAGCCAAAGGAAGATCTTGACCTGGAGCGGAGCCCACGTTTTCTAGATCAATCTATGGCCAGGCATTTTGATGGATCCGCTGTGCATCATGTTGTATGCTGATTTGGCGGTGTAGCATCCATCTGGCGTCCAGCGCCAAATGGTCTTGTTAGGCTCATTGCCAAGATAGATGTCCACAACGACTGCCCAGAGATGTAGGTAGTCAGTGAGCTCGAGCACTGAGAGACCTCCACTTATGCATCGCACCCATCTTCTGTCATGGGGCCCTTGTCTGACCGTTAACGTGCGTCGCACCTGCTGCGTAATTCTCTAGTGAAGGTATGGGGCGATGGTGGCGACGTCCTCCCCGTCAATCCACCGGTCTTCCCAGAACAAAGCCTTTCGCCCATTGTCTAGCCTGGTGAAGGTTGACGCTCTAAAGAAGAATTGGACTTTTTGGAGGTATGGATCGGCAGTTGGCTCCACGCACGATCTTAATCGGTCTTCTGCAGCCAATCTTCTGCTCCTCTTGAGTTGAACAATTTCTTTCCTTTTCATTCTTGCTGATTTTGCTAGTTGTTTTGACCGTCCCAGGTTCATCATTTTGTTGCCCATTGGTGTACTGGTTTCAATTGATAATTTCTAGGACGCTTTATGCCCCGCTTGAGTTCTTTCCTTGTTAATTCTACTAACCACTCTGATTGCATTGTTTGCTATTGTAACCTTTCTCCCCCAACCACCCCCCCCACCTGATGGCTTACTTGTACCGGCACTTCTACCGATTTTCTTGCTCTTTCTGCTTCTCTTCGGTTAAAAGGCTTCAAGCGCGCTTGCGTTTCTCAATCTTCTTCTTTCTGGTTGTAGTGCCTTACAGTCACGTTGCCCATTTGCTTTTCTGCACACAAGTGCCAATTCAATGGAATGTAAAAACCCTTTCTCTTATTGTTTCAAGACTCCGCTTTCCAATTATTAGATTAGTTGGTGCTGCTAAAAGTAAAAATGAACTGTTGAAAACTTCTCATCTCTTCATCCTAAAATAATATGCACTTATACATCTAGTCCAAGTTAAACTATTATAAGTTTGATTATGTTTATATATCAAAATATAGTAGCAACAGCTATAATTCCAAATAATTATGCATGAAAAATATATTCCATTACAAAACTAACAATCTTATTTCATGACGGATCTAACAGCATTTATTAGTATATTTATTTTTTACAAGAATTTTGGTCAATAAGAAGATGGTTTGAAGTGCGCTATTTTGTGGACGGAGGGAATGCTTTTAAGAATGTGTGTAGCCTGCGCTAGGATCTGACTCCCGGCCAATGTTTACATGACAGTTTTGGGAAAACCGCATTTGAAAACCTGATCGGTGATGCATGCATGTCGGAGATGATAACGTGAAGGGCCAAATTTAACTCTTTTGTTTCGGTGTTCATGCAGTGGGTCATGGAGCGTGGAACAATTAAAAGACATGGTTCAAACTGAAATGCATGTATTGGGGTTCCATAAAAAAAACTATGCACGCGCATGAAGTTTGAACGATTGTCTCTGAACACCATGAGAGAAATTACCTGCAGGCTGCAGCTGGTTTGATCTACCTACTCCCTTCTGGATATAAGACGAGCTGCACTTTCTCGATTAAGAGAAGTGTTATGTGACCTCGAGCCGCCTCTGGCTCCCTCCCCACCGCCGTCACGGCCGGCGCCGCCGACGGCGACATCGGGAGCCGGCGCCGCGGCAATCAGCGAGTCCACTCCTGCCGGATCCGCCGCTCCATCTTGGTCCTAGCCACCACCGAAGATGGGACCTGCCACTGCGGCAACCAGCTGCAGCTCCCCGTCCCCGTCCCCGCCAACGGCTTCGCGGGCGCCCGCTGCCGCGGCCTCCATGCCCGGATCCGCGGCCGTGGTCACCCCAGGGACGCGCGTGGACGTCAGATCTGACGGCCACGAGTCTCGGCCACCTCCGGCGGCTTCCGGCACGGACGTCGTCAAGCAGGAAGACGGCGAGCCCTTCACGCTGCTGTCCCTGATGGCCACGGAGGCCCCCGCGGAGCCCTACTCGCCGCTGCAGCAGCAGTCGGTGCCAGCCTCCGCCATCGCTGCACAGCGCGCCGAAGCCGGAGCAGGGGCGAGCGCTGCCCCCGCTGCCTCCGACCTCGAGGCCTTCCTTGTTCACCTGTCCGTCCCCGCTCCGAGCCCGTCGTCCACCTTATCACCCGAAGCCGCCCCTTCCATCCTGGGGGTAGCGTGGCAGGATGCTCCAAGGCCCGTTGTTGGGCGAACGACGACGACCTCCTCGACGACTCCGATGCGGAAGCGATGCCAACCACCTCCATGACCCCTACCTGGACGTGGTTCGTCGGGAGACACAGCCGCCAGGGACGTTGACGCTGCCTGTGATGTCCCTGTCACGCGCCCAACCTCTGACGTCGGGCACTGGTGGTGCGGCGGCGGGTCGTCAGGGTGCTGGGCGAGGGCGGGGAAAATGCAGAAGACCGCGCCCACAGATGCTTTTCAGCATGCCGGCTCGCCCAGCAGAGGGCCGCATCCGGCTCGCCAGCGCCTCGGACGTCGCGGATGGGTCTCCGCCCCCAACGCCGATGGGTGGCAGGAGATCCTCCACCGGTAGGAGACGTGACCTGCGGCCGCCTTGCCTGAGCCACGAGGGCCAGCAGGCGGAGGCCAGCCAGCGAGTCGTCGACCACTAAGGCGCATCCCGGCAGATCTTCTCGGCAAGTGCCTCAATTGCCTCTCCTCCGCGCATCGGGTAGCAACCTGCAAGCTGCCTCAACGATGTCTGCGGTGCAGGGGATTTCGACACATTGCGCGCGACTGCAAGCGGCCAAGGCGATTGGGCTCTCGGAGCTCGGGCGATGTAGGAGCCATGGGTCGCCAGCTGCAACGCCCTCTTCGTGGCACCCGTAACGCATGCTCCACTAGGGCGGCGGACCATGATGGTTCGCAAGACTCTGGTGGGGTCAAGTCGGGCAGCGCCGTTCTTGCCATCAGCGGTCGCCGGCGCCGAAGACGGAGGCGTCATAGGCAGTCGACAGGGGACGCACTGATAGCACCGGCCTTCACCTCGATTGCTGCTGAAGCTCATCCTAGGCACGGTGAGCTGTCCAGCGAGACAGGCATTGTCCAGCCTGACCCGTTGACGCTGACGTTGTACCCGGACGCTACGCATGGTCGCGACATCACGGAGGACCCAATGTTGGAGAAGTTTGCTGCCTCGCTCGCCAGTAGCCGGATCGTCGCTTGGCCTTCTCTTGAGCGCTTGTTGTCACCACCGGTGGTCCCCCAACCACAAGATGAGGCCCCGGTAGTGGCGGCCACCCAGCTGGAGGATGAGGACCTAGCGGCAGTGGTGTCCAGTGCGTTGCGGACACCACCTCCGCGCCCCATTCAATGGGCGGTGGACTCACCCCCTCCCAGCTCACCGCCGGTGGATACCCACCCGGGTGAGGACAACGACGACTCCGCCAAACGCCGTCTCGATAGCTTCATCAACGAAGTGACGTGCAAGAGGGAATCTCCACTGATTCGTGAGCCTCCAATGCAGCCTCCTGCTAAGCCGATGATACCGCGGCGGAGCAGGCGGTTGGAGGCTCAGCCCCTCTCTCGAGTACCTGCTTCCAAGCGAGGTGAGGTGCTGATCATGCAGCGCATGGGCTTCACTAAGGGTCCATCAGCGCCATCCGTGTCGGAGCTGGAGGTCTATGAGAAGCTCTTCGACGGCGACCTGACTGCGTCCGAGGCCGAAGCGCCTAACGAGCTATTCCCGACTGTGTCTAGGCAGTCGCGAAGACGCAAGGCCACCCCATAGGTCGCACCGTTGTGTAGGTATTGGTTGCTTCCTTTAATGTAATATCGAGTCTAGAGGTCTCTTGCTATGACGGTCCGGCTACGGCTGTGTTAGGTTGATCTCCTGCGACGTTCGATACAAGCGCGTTGTATGTTTACCTAAATTCTTCTACCTAATACAATGATACGTAAAGCTTTTGCGTATTTAAAAAAAAAAAAAGCAATGCACGGCCTTAAACACTTGGAAGCTTGTAGCTGAGAAAATATATGACGAAAACAGATACAGCAAGATGAGTTGATGAAGGGAAC